ACATTAAGCCTTTGAGAATTATTTGAAATTTGAACTTTTTTTTTTTTTACTTACTTTTCTTATTTGCCGACATTAACATAGAACCATGTTTTCAAATAGATGTATGATTAGCAATAAAAAGAACTGAATAATAAGAAAAGTAAGTAAAAAAAAAAAAGTTCAAATTTCAAATAATTCTCAAAGGCTTAATGTGCCCGAAGTTGAGTTAATGAGACCTTACTCAAACACTACAGTAGCTTTCATATGTAGACTGTAAGTTACCAGTTTTTAACTTGATATCTGAAAGGATCATATACATGTTCAAACTATATCTGTGATATCTATATTCTTGATCTATTGATCTACGTGACAAAATCAGGCAGCAGACAAGCGAATGTCACTACATTGACGCAGCAACAAGTGAGCGATTTATCGGACAATGCGAAAAGAAGAAAGAAAATTTTAAAATAAAATTTAAAAAAAAAACCTTAAAGTGAAATAAAATCAAATCGGAAAGAAACGTCTTAGCGCTTACGAACACAGAAATTGTATAAATTAGTATGTGACACCAAGAAAGTCGTAGAATACGTCGACAGCTATAAAATCGTTGCTGATGATGCGTTGTACGTCGACTCGATAATCGACAGTTACAAACTGACACTAGTCTTTATAAATTTGACCGTTTTAGAACTTGACAATTTTGTTCAATACACAACGCGTTCAAACATACCTTGGTAAATTGTCCAAGAACCTGTGCCACACGTGTATGACGATTAGTAGCGAACGAGTTAAAGTGATCTTTGTTTAGTTTAGTTTAGCACCCTATCTGTGTTACGCGAGTTAATTTGGAAAAGTTCTGCTGTCCGCCATTGTCCCCAGCATAAGTATATCACTTGCCGACTTTATCACTTTGAAGGCTACTATCGCAAGATCCTTACACCTGTCGACCCATTTATTTAACATTAAATAGTGAAAATTATACGCTCAGCCAGATAAATGTTTGCTCTTATTTTAATTTCGATTGTATTCTCAATTAAATCTTGGTGTAATTATAAAGTAATTATTATAAATACGTGAGCAAAATGGCTGCGAGTAATCCAAATTCCGAAATATTGAGAGTAAAAAATCATTACATAATAGAGATAAAGTTATTCTGGCAGAATGTTCCAAATATTGTGGAGGAGAGTAACCAAGTAGGAGTAAATACAATTAAACCAAATTTTCACTGGACTTGGTCGCACTTTGAGAGACAATTTTAGTTCACCTCGCGATCAAACCCCTATATATGATATCCAATATCGCCAGAAGGTCTTCTATTTTTCGTTCAAACTTATTATTCAACAACTTTCCCCATTTACCGTTTGTAGTTTGTTTTCTAATGAAATTTCGTTTCCCTCGTGGTTTTTTATTTATATAATAATTATACGCTCCTTATATTATGATTTATACGATACGTTCGTTAAGTTTATTTAGATGCATGTAACAACCAGAAGGAGTTGTGGTATAGCCATCAGTTATTATATCGATCAAATCGGAATCACTTTCTAAGCTTATCTTTCCGTCTGCCCATCGTGTTCTCTTTTGTGCAATCTACCGGTCGCAATTTATACAATATTTTGATAAAAATTTCGTACACCGATATGTTTTGGCCCAAAGACAAACGCTTTTGAAAATTTTTCGTATCGCACCACTTTCCCAACCATTTCCCACATAAAGTCTTACTTTGAGTGATTTTCATGATGATTAACTTTCTTAAAAAGCTTTCAAAGATATATCTGAAGTATTATTAATTTAGTTACACAGTTCAACAACTATTTCATTTAATAAAAAGTGAAAACATTATAGTCGGGCTAGGCCTACACGATATCGTCTAACACAATTCTTATTTTTGCCATGGAACACAAAAATTGTTTTCATAGGAACACACCGTTATGGGACGGTGTATTAAAAATTAGACCTTTTTGCAAATGTAGTCTTGCGTTCCGTTAGAATGATTGTGCCCATCAGGTTCAAAAATTGAAGCATTTTTTATATAATGTTTTATGTCAAATTACTATTACGGCCTAATTTTCATCATAACATATTAAAGTTTAGACTTTTCTGCCCTATAAAGGGTCAATTTTCGTGAAATCTTACTTAGGCTAATATCCAAACAATCGGCCGAGATAGTCCAAATTTGGCGCAGTTAATTTTTATAACCTAGACCGCTTGTGGTATAGCCAGTTTTGCCGAGAAATTTTGAAAATGGCACTTTTTTCCCATATAACGATTTTTCAGTATAGCCCTTTATATGGGGAGCGATCGAAAAAATGTACCGATCCGAACCATTTTGCATAGCGTTCATCCTTGGGTCAAAACGCGTCACTGTATCAAATTTCATCGACATATATCAAAAATTGCGATTTGTAGGTCGAACACAAATTTACATGGACAAACATCAGACGGACAGACTAGCCTAGAATCATAATCTGAACTGATCAGTATAATAGAAGGTGGATCTATATTAAGCCTTCTTGCGTGTTACATATGTCCGCACTAACTTAATATACCCCGCACCACAAATGGTGTAGGGTACAATTACAGTAACTCTTATGTTAATGAACCATTCAAAGCATTTACGGTTTGAGACAGGGCCGTCTTATCATCGAAAACGTGATCCACACGATGAGACTAAGTTTCGACATTATCAATGGTGTGACAACCATCCCTGTTTTTATCAGAAATAAACCTTAAATTTCCAAAGCCAACGATCAGCAAAATCTGACTTGGCACACTTATGCATCATAATCGGAGAAACAATACCGCGAACAATAGACTTAAAATTAGCTATAGATCTAAGATCTTTAGAACTAAGAAAAAAATCGCATATAAAATAGTGATATTTATAAATAAATACATTTTTGCATCTTTTTTTCGTCTGAGCGGATGAGTAGTCAAAGGATTCCAACTAACAATTCAATGATTGTGGATTCAAGTTCAATGGGATTCTCAATAAAGCCAATAGCCTTAGAATGCGAGTTGTAAGACTTTAGTGTTAGAATCTATTTCTCTACCTAGCTTAACAGTAATAGTATTAACCTCTCGAATAGATTTTTAGCGACCAACTCAGCTAATTCGTTCTTCAACTGTAAAAAAAGTATTAAAGTCATAGAATTAACAACACATCATCAATTGTTCACGGTTGTCACTATTGTGGCGACCATGACATTTTCGGTTTAAGCAATACGGGACGCTTAAGTTTGCTTTTCATAACGTTCAGATTAATCTAGGCGAGTAGATCAAAAGATGCCAAATCCAATGCAAACAGCGGATAATCTGACTGATGTGTAATAATCAGTAACTAAACGTCATTTTTAAAAGCCAACTACGCCAAACCTCGTATCGCGTTGTCAAGCTTCGAACGCTTCAAGTTAACTATTCTCGGGCCTTTCAATCTTAGAAACAAATTTATCATGAAATGCTACAGCATTTTTTTTCCTAATTGTCAACGATCTATATAAAAATTTTTATTTACGATTACATGCACTTATAATGAGTAAGATTTTGTTTTTTGTTTTGTTTTTTTTTTTTTTTTTTCTTAATTTGAGTATCAATTGGGTATCAATTGGTTGAATAGATGTGATTGCTTTCTTATTTTATATTATTAAGAAAATTTTTTCTATTTTTATCAAAAGTAAAAAAATATACTTTACATTTAGGATATTAACATACATCTATACATTTACATACAGGAATTCTTTTTCCAATTCATTTGAGTTTGGTCAATATTTATGGTAAATTCATTCATTATTGGTTCGTATTTTTTATATACTATACCGCCAGCATCGAGCATAATTTTGGAAGCTTGAAATTCAGGTTTCTCAGCGTATTTATCAGAAATATAATACACCTGTGAAATTCCCGTTTGAAGTATCAGTTTGGTGCATTCATTGCATGGAAATAACGTTGTATACATGCGAGTATTTTTCAAACTTTTACAGTTACTATTTAAAATAGCATTTGCTTCGGCATGCACTACAAAAAGCCTTTTATCTTGTAGAGGATCATCACTTTCCACATCGGTTATCTTATGCCAAGGAAATATATCATCACTACAATTCTGCGGGAAACCATTATATCCAACGCCGACACTGCGATTTTCCTCATTGACTATAACTGCACCCACTTGAGTAGAGGGATCCTTACTGCGTTGTGCTGTTACTATAGCGACAGCCATGAAATAGTCATCTAATTGTAAATAATCAACACGTTTACAATTTTTTAAGGCTTTGAAATTCGTTTTCCTCGCATCCGCCATTTTCCAAAAACGTTGGGCAAAAATAATTGTCTAGAAATTCTTTAATCTGAAACCAAAGAACAATTTTTAATAAACCCAACGTAAACCGCAAATTGTACAAAAGCAAACCTAAATATTCCTATGCCGACACACTGATAATTTTCACCGTTTACAAGCGGCAGTCTCCCAATTAAAAATATATGCAGCTACAAACACTTTAATATTTACTTTCAGTTATTACATTTAATATTTTTAATTTAAAACATGTGTATTGACATAAATATAAAACGAAAGTGCACACACAGAGCAGACAGAACGGCAGAACTAACAATAACGTAAACGCGAGGATGATGTGAAAGATATTCGTAAAAACCAAACTTGGCAATACTTTTGTCGCTTAAGGAATTCGCCTTGAAACAAGCTATAGATAATATCAGGTTGTTTTATAATAACCATTTCAGTAAATGATCGCGGGAGTTTTTGTCATTATTTTTTAGTTACCTATTATACTTATTAATAGATTGAGCCTTTTTTACGCATCCCAACGAATTTTCGGTTGTTAATTTGCCGAATAACAGAGGAAGATAATTATTAATGGAGATGCTTTCAAAGTGTATTAAGGCCGCATGCTGGAATTGATGTTTTAATTGCAGCGATTTTCAATATTTCAAGAACAGATTGCCATGATTAGATCCCGTTCATTTAAGGCGTATTTAATATATATTTCAAAGTTTCTGGAAATTGCGCACCAAAAAAACAATTGTTGTCAGCTTTGAAAAAGACCTCTACAAAAATTCTTTTATAAATTAAAAGATTATAACGCTTTTCCTTTGAAATTTTTACGTTCCGTTGAAACAAAATTGTTGAACAACCTCAAAATTGATTTGAACTGAATAAAAAATTTTCTTAAAATGTTTAATTTTTAATGTAGAAGTTTATGTAATGTATAATTTTATATAATTTTCGAATAATAGAATTTGAATCTGACATAATTCATAAAGAATACTTTTAAGCTTTCTGTGTACCGATTGGAATGGGATTTTGTTTGAGATGCAAGTAAATGGAACGCATACGTGATACGTCTTTTCCCGACTTGTTAACTTTGGGGTTAAAATCGCACAACTTGGCGATGCGTTCCCATTCTGTCCCTGGTTCCATGGCGCTACCATTTTCTAAAGCAGCTGCTTGTTTCTCGGCATTACGTGCAGCGGACTTAGTTTTAGCTATAGATTCTTCAGTTTGGCGTAGCCAATCTTCGAGTTCTTTCTTTGCTTGTAGACGTAATTCCTCCTTTTTACGTTCTTCTTCACGATCTTTTTCCTCCAATCGTTTTTTCTGCTCTTCACGCCATTTACGTATTTTTTCCGGTTCCACACGTGAAGGCGGTGGTGCAGATATAGCATTGCTATCAATATTTTCACCTCCAATCATTTCAAAGCTACCCGTTGAGGATTCAAAGCCACCACTACTAGCTGCGGCAATTTCATTAATGTCACCTCCTAAGAGAGCATCGTCTCCAACCGTAGTGGTTACTGTCGCATTACTAGCCACAGTAGAAACAGCGTTTATTTCAGCTTCTAAATCGCCCAACATAGACTGTTCACGAGCCAAAAATTCAGCAGCCGGATCTAACTCTTCGCCATTGGTGGAAGTAGCTACGAAATCATCACCGAAATCCATACTTTTTTTCTAGTTCTGATAAGAGCAAGGTGACACATCAATATCATAAGAAAAATGGGTGTATAGGGGAAATTAATACGTACACACTTTTTAAATGAATATTTACAACTAAATATCGGCAATAATTTATTCCATTAAACTTTTATCATAAAGCCTTAGAAATTTACTACTTTATTGGTTTTTCTAACAATCGCTCATTAATTTGTGATGAGCAAATACCTCAAACTTTTTCTTTTACAGAATATAAAATTCCGTGTGGCCAGAACTAGGCACTTTATGGTATGTACGGTATAAAGAAAAAGTGATGCCAGGTTTTGGAAACTATGTTGCTTTAATTACATTTGAACATACATACTAAATGTTTATCTATTTGATATTTGTAGGCACGAAATTCCAATGTATAAAAGTTTTTTTTAAATAATTTTTTTTGATTTCAGTATAATTAAATATAAAATGATTTATTCCGAGAGGTTTTTGTTCTTTGTTTTACTCCTAAATAGCCTATAATAAAGTCTGGCAAGATTGTTTTCTTATTTTGTCCACATGTTCCATTTTTCATTACTTATTTGCTGCGACTGTCATACTTTTCTAAAATGGCGCTTTGAGAGAGTAGACGATTTTGTTGAAATTGTAACCCAATAATTTTTGTATAAATATAACAACGAAATCTAAACTATTTTCTCCAATATTTGTCATAAAAGTGCAGTGTAAATAAACCTAAAGTACAATTAATAAAAACCTGTGTGAATTTCCTCAATGGAATGATGAAATTTTAATGTGAAAATTTTTTCTCTTCATCATTTTCTATGTGAATAGACGTGATTGACGATAGATCTTTTTGCGTTTGGAAGAAGAACGCGACACACACACAGATAGAAACACGCACGCAAGCAAATAAGTAATATTGGTGCAGTGTGTGGATTTTATCTATAGAGTGTATTTGTTGTGTGTGGTAGAAAACGTCAAAACGTTGAATGATACAATAAAAAAAAACATACAAAAAGAAAAAATTGGACAAGGCGGCGGGCAGGTTTATAATTGTTGTAAAAAAATACAAGAGAAAAACGCACACACTTCATAAAAATAAATATATCCGTAGTTAAAAAGGACTAATCTATAAATTTATAAAAGTTATTTAATATTTCTATACACACTAAGGTGGGTAATTTTTGTTTGTGGAAGTTTTTGCCTTTTTTTTTATATAATTGTTCAGGTTTTTTTGAATGGTTATTTTTTGTGTGTGTGCTCTTTTTGTTTGTTCTAATAGTGTGGCAGTGTAGTGAGTCACCATGGACCCAAACTCGAGTCCCTGGCCTTATGCGTATAATCGTATCGTACCGCCAGCTAGTGGTAGCAGTTCGGCGGAGGACTTTCAGCATCCGCATTTGGCTTCTAGTGCGCAGTCTTTGTTATTACAAGCAGCGAGTTTTAATGCAGCAGCCAGTGGCGGCAGTTTTGTGTCACCATCACCGATCAGTAGTTACAATCCGGTCTTTCAGCAAATTTATCATCATGCGGCCAGTGCTGTGCAACCGAAACCTGCCCACTTTGCTTCGACGACAGTTAATACGCCACACCGTCAATTGCAAATACCCGCCACTTTGGATAAACAGTTGACCTCATTCCAAAACCAAGCCGCTATAGCGGCTGTATCATCGGCGGCTGCCGCAGCCGTTAATAATGCAGCAGCTACAAATTACTATGGTGAAAATTCTTCATCTAGTGGTGCTTCTCCTTCGCCGACTACCGCCTCCATAACGCCGACCACCCTTAGTTGGAATGCACCGACAATGTTGTCGAATACATTTTTGGCAGTACAACAACAAACGCAACAACAGCAACAAGCCCAGCAGCAGCAACAACAGCAGCAGCAGCAGCATCAACAGCAGCAATTGAATCTAGTTACGGATAAGGTGGTGAGTAGTAGTATGTAGTCAAATTAAAAAAAAAAAAACAAAAAAAAAACATCTATATATGTATACATATATAAAAATTAAGGAAAATTAAAAAAATATATATACCTTATTTCATATATAAGAAAAACACATCACTTTTCCCCCGCATTATATTTATCCATTAACTATCAACAATTACGTAAAAGAGAAATATGCAAAAGTACAGAAAGGCGTTAAATAATTCATAAATTTAATTATAGAAATATACTTAAGGAGATTTAAATATTCAAAAAATTTTAAAACACAATCTGTAGTGAGTTTTTATTTTCCAAAGCATTTAATATAAAGCTCACCAATCTATACTTGAACTCTAAGATAATTTTCCGACAAATTTTAAGTTTATACTCATCGCATGGACAATAACGATATATTAATTTTCAATTTCGGCCCCCGGAAATGTTTGCAAATCAGTGAACAATTTCTAATTGCTTTTCTTAATCGCTGAAATGAATGCGTGCATATACGTGCCGTGTAGTCTTAATTGATTTATGCAGACTATCTATAGAAATAGCCTAAATCCGCCCACACTTAGACGGACTATTTGAAATCTTTAATTTGCAAAGTTTTGTGAATAACAACCACGCCAGGCCAGATGAGAGGTCCGTCGGACATTAAATTTGAGATGATTTTCTTTTTCAAAATTCGCGAGTATTTTTATATATAGAATACCGTTTCAAAGGGTTCTCTTTGACATTCAAAATTACTTGGGTTTCTTAGCGGGCAAATATTTTCGTTATATTTTTATTTATTTATTTTTTTCGATTCTCATAAAAAGTTTAAATTTTTTTGCTTATTTATGCATTAAGTGCAATGTAGCTTTTTCACGCTATTATCTGTTGTCTTTACTGCAGTCAATGGCTAATAATGGACCCTAATTTGGGAAAGCTTCTCAGCTGATTCTTTGATTTTCAATTAATATGACTTCACCTACCTCAGCCATTATCTCGACAGTAACAAACTGAGCAATTGGTTCTGCTATACGGGAAAATTTCTTGGAACAAACTTTCTGCTCTTCTAAAAACGAAACAAACCTTAGGACCTCTGCTTACTCTTGAACCAATGTACATATATAGTATATGTGAATGCGTGTATTTGAATGAGTTCGTTAGATTTGCTGTTATGTGACAATAATCTCTGCAACATGCATAAAAGTTTCTCAAAACATTTTTTTTAAATAAAATTTTTCAAAGTAATTGTGAATTTCTTTTTTTGGAAATTTTCTAAACGCCTTCTAAAACAGTATCCTTAGTGAAAAGAAAAAAAGGAACAAAAAAAAAAGATTATGAAAAATTGATTTTTTAATAATTGTAAGAACTTTTCAAGATTTGATACCAAGGGAGATGATAAACATAAAGTGATCGCTACTAAACTATATTGCAAGCAGGAAGTACAGGTCATATACATGAATGAATTTTCAAGCAGGTGCCTTCCATCGTAAACGTGTGTAGTATTATTATATACAAAGTTTCTTCTTTTTTTTTTTTCTTTATACAAAAAGTAAAACAAATATTTAAAAAACTCGCTTGTACACAAAAAAAAAAAAAAAAAAAAAAAAGAAAAAGAAAGAAAGAAAGAAAAATAAAGAAAGGAGTTTATGTTAGTTACTTATTATGATACTTTGAAGCTTTTCTCTTTTGCATAAAATCTTAAATTCATCAAAGGCATCAAAAAAATATACATCAAATTTGAACGGAACTCTGTCTCGGTTGGTCGGTGCTTAACTTATAATTAACTGTGTTTGTTACTAACTCCTGAATTTCTATTCTGACAACTTGTAAACCCTTTCTTATTACCGTTTGTGGGTAAAACGATTTATTCCGTCTGATCTTTGCGTTGTTTCACTGCTGTGGAAATAAAATCCAATATGTATACACACTTGAAATTTGAAAAGAATGCTGAAAAAACGTTTTATATTGTATGGAAAAATGTCCATTATTTGCAGAAATTTGAAAGCAAAAAAAAAAAAAAAAAAAGCAGGAGGAAAAATGGAGCAAAACAAGCAAGCAAGCAGCAAAATATTGGGGGATTAGTACCGACCATTTTGGGTAGTCAAGTGTTGACCCATAATCTAAATAATTACAAAATGTTTTTACGCATGTGCATCCGCCCCTTTGAAATGATGTTTTGATAAATTTTAAATGCAATAAAAAAAATTATTCATATACATACAATTTTTATAATATATATATTTATATATGTTATAACATATTCACATATTCACTATATATACATATATATATATATATAAAAGATATTCATAAAAAACGTATACATTTATATATATGTATATCACATCTGTTCCCTCATATAAAAAAGTGTATGTAAACCGTTCTGATATCCGCGTCCTCGACTCACACTATAGTGCTTATGTTTGAGCTGGTCTATGTGGTATGAGCTGTAAAACAATATATATTTGATGTCTAATAAACTTTTTCAGTTTTTCGTTTTTTTTTTTTTTTTGTTTTATTTTTCTGTTTTTTATTCCTTTCTGTACTTTTTTTCCTCTTGTGTGTATATGTAATTGTTTTTTTTTTTTTTGAGCTCACATCTATTTTTTCACAACACAATCGCGCGTACATATACATTTATATGTATGTATCTGTAAAAATATATTCGTAGAGATATAATAAAACAAAAAAAAAAAAAACAAAAAAAAAACGAAAAAGAATTTACACATATGCACACACATTCATTCATATACTCAGTCACTCAGTCCACTCACTTGCTCATCAGCCAACAAAAACATATCTATTTTTCTCTTCATATTTCTATGTATACGTATCTGTATTTATATGTATTTGTAAAGCATAAAAAATTATTTTCTTTAATTTTCAACAAAAAACAATACAAAACTTCTCTCTCTCTGTCCCTGCTTTTCTCCTTTACACCAATCATCTTTATTCTATTTTTTAAACAATTTTTTCCAACAAAATATACGAAAATTGCAAAAAAAAAAAAAACCAAAATGAAAAATTAAAAAAAAAAACAACAACAACAACAAACAAACAAACATACCAAAACAAACGCAACCATGAAAAATCTAGCAAATCAAACAAGAAAATGCTCAAATTAAGACAGAGGTTAAATCTTACAATGATATATTGTACCTCACACAATTACACCAACAACAGCAGCAGCAACAGCAACAACAGGAAGAGCAACAACAACAGCAACAATTGCAAGAAGAAACAAATTACTATATAATTGATGGTAAACAATATAAAATTGTACGGAAACCATCGCAACCTCAACAACAGCAACAAACGCTGCAAATCGAGCAGCAGCATTCAAGTCCAGCATCTTCCACCACCACCCAACATTATCCCATTTATGCCAGTCCGGCCTTAAGTTCAACGGGCGGTTCATCACCTGCCTTACATGTAGCTGCTACAACGCCACCTCAGATTATTGTTTATAAGAATCCAGGTTCGACCGGCCAAGTGGGTGCCGAGTCACCGATACGGAGAAGTCATGTTGCAAACGCTGGTTCGCCTGCAACTGCGTCCGCCGCCTCAACGGTAGCATATTCGTCTGTGATACAAAGTACTTTACAGCAGCAGCAACAATTGCAACAACAACAGCAACAGCAACAATTGAATTGTTGGAAAATTGACGCTGACAATGGAGGCTCCGCGGAAGATGTAAAAAATGTTTTGCAATTACAAGTGAAACAGGAGCACCCTAGCAGTCTCGATTATAATACTAGCAATGGTAACAGTATTGTTGGTAATGTTGTAATGAGTGACAATATGATATTTAATTTACCACCCGGCCTAGAAATTAAACAAACTATTTGCAATAACAATACACAAAATACGGTGGTACAGCACACACAACAACAGCAACAACAACAACAACAGCAACAACAACAAATTCTTATACAGCAACAACAGCAACAGCAGCAACAAAACGTTTATAGCAATGACTCGAAATTGCAACAGCAACAACAATCAGATAAAAGGCGACAACATATGATAGCCAACATGTTAATGTCGCCCTCAACTACCTCCAATCATCATCATCAGCAACAACACCACCACCACCACCATCATCACCAACAACAACAACACACTTCTTCGCCGTCGTCTTCTCACGCCACAACAGCGTCACAGATTCAAATAATTTCTAAGGTTTGTATTTTAATTTATTTTTTATTTTCGGTTTTACTTTTTTTTATCCTTATCATTTGTTCTACGTATAATTTTTTTTTTTTTTTTTTTTTTTTTTTTTTTTTTCATTTAATTTTTTCGTTGGTTATAAATCGTATGTGTATATATGTTTATTTAAAATAAATGTATGTATACATATGTTTCGGTATAAACATATATATACATATTCTATTTTTTTTTTCATTTTTGACTTGAAACTAACTCTCTTTAAGGTAAGGTTTTCTTTTCCCTCTAATGATGCGTTAAAAACAGTTTTCCTCGCCTTTTTTTTAATTTACGGTGACATGAAATCTATGGATAATCCCTTTGCAAAATCCGTAACATTAATAACAATCGATCGATCCACCTGAATGGCGTTAGCAAGCATAATTCATATATATAGGAATGAAATTAGTTCACTTATTAATGCGAATGGAAAAGGTATCCTTCAATGATTCTGTAAAGTTAGGCAGGATTATGGAAAAAAGGCGGTCCAGCCAATTAATTTTTGATAAAACTTTCATATCATTTTTTTTTTTTTTTTTTTTTTTTTTTTTTTTTTTTTTTTTTTTTTTTGTGTATGTAGCATGCAGAAATTGTGACCCTCCTAGAGATATTTTCCATTTCCATTAACGTGAATTTTTAAATGGTTTCAGTAACAACTGTCTATTAATTCGATTCTGTCTAAAATCCCCAGTTACGAAAGAATTGAGCCTATGATTTCTTCACTCCTTCATAATAACGAATTATGAAAAAAAAAAGAAAAGAAAAACCTCAACACAAATATCACAACTGAAATTTCTTAAATTTAATTTAAAATAGAAAGAAAAAAAGGAGAGATAGACTGACTTGAAGACAGATTGAATTAAACGATTTTATATACACTTAGCTTAAATAAACGAACATTTCCTTTAAATTTCGCAAATGCACTGAAAATGCACAGTGTCATGAAAATGAACTGCCTTTAGGATTACAGTACCGAAGAGAAAGTGAAAGGCAAGAGGAAGATACCGTTGACGCATATCGTTAGAATGCATTTTTGATCAATATTGGCAAGTAGATCCCTTCTTATTCCCATCAGCTATGAAGCCAATCGCTTCATGACTTACAACACACGTGATTTATTTTGCGGTTTCTCTTATCATGCTTATAAGTACATGCAAATATTTATACAACTTTTCAAATACATTTGGACGACATCTAAGAATTCAAAAGTAAGCTCAACCATTCCTTTACTCTTATTAATTCAGTATAGCGATAGTACATCATATATAATTTTTGTGGTTTTTGGAGATAGCTATGAATATATGTACAAAACCTTCGGACGGTAGAGTTCATAATGCGAAAAAAGAAAACAAAAATTAAAAATTTAAAAATTTAATAGAAAATTGAATTCTGAAAGGAATGGGAGGGAGGAGGAGAGAGAATTAAATAATGTATTCAAATTTTTTTTCGTCATTTTTCTCAAGTCCTTGCTTAATAGCTTTCCTTTGGCAACTACCTCTTTTTAGTAAAAAGTTTCCAAATATTTCTTCTTTTTCTTTTTTTAAAGAAAAACTAACCGTGCATTTGCTGTGCTTCAAACTTAATGTAAATAGTAAAGGCATAATAGTTTTAATATAAGAATCGCTGCTAATCACCTTCCAAATAATTCTTGAGGAACACTATTAGAAATAGAAAATTGCTTTCTTGTAAGTACGACAAAAAAGAAAAAAGAAAAAAAAATAGAAAAATAGAAAAATTATTATTTTTTTTTTAATTTTGACAACAAAGATTTCAGAAAATTTTATATACATAGGTGGTATGTACCTGCAAGTACGTGCGAGCCATATGTATATATATATACATGTATATATATGTTATAATAAAGATTTGTGTTGGAACAATCATCTTCCTCCATGTTTGTAATAGAATTACGTATAAAATATATATTTGATTATATTTGTATGTATATATGAATGTATGTATGGATGAATGTACCTGTAATATAAATGTAAGTAGTATTCGTTTAAGTGAAACTATTAATTGCCATTCTGGTGAAAAAAAAAGAAAAAAACTTTTTTTTTTTTTTGTATACTTTATTTAATTTGTTTTTTATACTAACTTTTTGTGTTGTTGTTTTTTGTTTTGTGTCTAATTTTCTTCTAACATTTATTAAATTGAATAAAAATTATTTTGTTTTTTTGGTTTCATAAACATAAAAATAATTATTTGAACCTGTGACGTTGTTAATATATGCCATTGTTGAGGAAGATGAGCGTAAGATCTACACACAACAAAGAAAAACGAAACACATTTTATATCATTGTTGTTGTAAAAAACCAACCAACAAACATGCAAACAAGTATAGCTTTTAAGTTTAAAACGGAATTCTCTTTGCTTTTTGATTTTTGTTGTTCAAAATGTTAATGAAAAATTTTTTTAAAAAATCTCTTCTTGAAATTTTTTTCAGGCTGAGGAAAAACAAGTGCAACAACAACAACAAATGTCAGTAGCAAAACCCACTAAAACGCCACGTAAGAGGCAACCGAAAAAGACGTTAGTGGCCAATGACTATGAAGCGGAACGTGGCTCTCAAAGTGAGGCTTCGACCAGCCACCATCAACAGCAACAGCACGTACAACAGCAACAGCAGCAGCAACAGCAAACCACGTATTATGATTTCAACAGTAAATGGAATACTAGCACATTGAAAACGGAAAGCAATACTACGACACCTGCGGTACAAGTGCCCGCAATTAATATACCTACATATGTTAATCCTCATACAGCTGCTGCGACACAACAACAACAACAACATCAACCACAGCAAGCAGTAAATCAACAGCAACAACAACAACAGCAGCAGCAGCAACAAGAGCAACCGCAAGTGCCACAACCAGCCCACTTGCAATCGTCACAAGCTCAATCGCATTTAACGAATCTATCGTATTATCCGAGTTTTTCGCAACAAATTGCCTCACAATACACGGCCTGTATACAACAAAGTGCAGCTGCTGCCGGAGCCATTCAACATACGCTGTACAATCTCAATCAACAACATCAACAGCAATTGCAGCAACAGCAGCATCAGGCCAATAATCAACAGCAGCAGCCACAGCATCAACAACAGCAACAGCAGCAGCAACAACAGCAACAACAGCAGCAAGTTGATCAACAACAGCAGCAACAACAACAACAACAGCAACAACAAGAACAGCAACCTCCCCAGGAAGATCCAACTAATAAAGTTATTGTACCGAACATTGAAGAAGAATTAGATTTCTTGTCAGATGCTGTGGCACCGAAGCAGGGATACGCAAGCGCTAGCGACACGGCACGTACCGGTACATCGATAGCAACCACAGGTACAAATAAACCTACCAATTTTGGCATATGCAATCCCAACAATTCATCAGCACAGAGCGCAACAAAGCCTAACAGTACTACGGGCGCAGCAGCCTCATCATCGTTAGCGGTAGCCGTTAATAATGGTAGTGCAGCTGCTGTTACGACAGTAGTAGGTGCAACTACGGGTAGCGGAACTACGTATGTGCCGCCTGAGAAGAAGCCTGTAGTGGGCACTTCAATAGGAGAAAAGAAAACCCAATTTATGGATAGTTATTTGAAATTTTTACAAGGTGATCGTGAAGAGGAGACAGCGACGTCTTCGAAGAGCGGACGCCGGAATAATGTGCAAAAATCTCAAGGTGGCGGTGGTGGTGGTGGCAAACGGAGTAAACAAAACAATTCAACTAATAATGCGACGAATAATGCGAGCAACAATAGCGGCGGCGGTGTTGCTGCACCTGCCCAGAGTGAAGAAGCTGTGGCAGCAGGGCATCTACAAGGTTCAATGGTGGATGCTCATGCAGCGGGGGGGACTCTAATGACAGGCGATGATGGCCATCAAATAAAAATTCTTTCCCAAACACAAATCCTACCTAAGAAGCGGCCACATGCACAAATGGCTGCAGCTGCTGCAGCAGCGGCAGCATCTCCTTCGGCCATTTCAAGTAATTCACATTCGAATGCAGGCACATCGGTCATAACCCAACATCCCCAGCACGGTGATGGGCATGCGCAACATCAGCAACCACAACAACAGCAAACTGTAAATCAACAACAACAACAGCAGCAACAGCAACAACAACAACAGCAACAACAGCAGCAGCAGCAACATGAGCAATCATTCCGTCCATATGGACAACACCAAACGCAACAACCACATCATCAACATCAAGTATCACAACAGCACCATCATCATCAACAACAGCAGCAACCACAGCAGCAACAGCAGCAGCAGCAGCAGCAACAACAACAACAACAACAACAATACTGTGCCCAATTGGGATTTATTGGTGGTAGTTCGACGTCTGCCAGCCTAGCCGCCAATAATACAAGTCAAGGTATGTTGCTACTTGACCAACAAAATTCCACTAGCCGTAGTTTTAACGCTCTCAACAACTCTACTACTACAGCCTCACATCCCTCCTCCTCCGCCGCCACTAGCGTACCACACAGCAATCATCACCATTTTTTAAATTTTCTCTGGCCCTGGCATTGAAGCATAAATCAAAAGATAAATATGAAATTGTAAAAACAAAAAGTCGTGATTACGATAAGCCTCGTGTGAACACTCTCGCTCACCCTCTCTCTATCTCCCTATCTTTATCTCTCTCTCTCTGCACCACTCTCTCTGGTTCATTTTTCTACGCTCGAGAGAGAGAAAGATTGAAAGAGGTTGATACAAATTCTTACTTTTGTTACGAGTGTTTTTAAAATAACTTTGTAAAAAAGTTACTAGTGTTTACTTTTAAAAACTTTTTTTGTACAAAATAATTAAACATCCTCCTTTACAATTAAATTATTTTATCATTGTTAAATTGAAAAAAAAAAAAAAAAAAGAAAAAAAAAAGAAAGAAAAAAACCGTAAAAAAAAAAGAAAAAAAAAAAGATCGAAAAGCATAATAATAATTAATCATGGACGAAGAACTTATATGAAAAATGAAATATTTTTTTAAAATATAAATCAATCGATTTTTTTTTTTTGTGGAAGAAAGCGAATCAAACAATAAACTCAACTTACCTATGTGTGTGTTTTTATTTCAAATAAATGCAAGGATGTCTTACGGATCGTTCTCGTCGCCATTTGTTGGATTTAATGCGAAGCAGTGGTATGTTAGTGGCTAATTTTCGACGCGGATTCCTAAGGAGAGGATTTGGTTTGGTTGAGAAAGAGTTATGCTTTCTTCTTTTTTTTGTTTTTTTTTTTGTTTCTCTCTCTCTCTTACTCTCTATCTCTCTCTCTCTCTCTCACACTCTCTTTGACTTTTTGAATATTTTTGTATATTAATTATGCTTTGTTGAAACGCTTGAAGTCCTTGGTTTCAAAATCCTTTCCAAGAATTAAAATAATTAGTAGTAAATGGGCAGAAAATGGATATAAATGTTTTATCCGTTTCATCAACGAATACTTCTTTCCCATTTTTATTGTATTGAACATTAATTTCTTCTTTTTCTATCATTGTAATACCAGATTTGAGAATATTGGGTTCAAAATATATGCGAAGATTTAAGATTTTGGATCAGGATGCGATTTAATTTATAAATCGATCGATTTGTAGGAAAAGTAAGAAAAACTTTTGATTTACAATAATGGGCGACAGTAGATTTACGTCAAAAGGACCTTAGAATGTACAAACGAACTTGATTTTTTTTTTTTTTTTTTTTTTTTTTTTTTTTTAAATACTGGCATTATTTGTTGCATGCGGTCGATAACATAGCGCAAAAGTGATATGGAACTTATACTTGATTAATATTATTATACGCATATGCCATCTGTGATGACTCTGCCCCTTGCATTCATTATTTCTAAATAAAGCGTTTTAACTGTTTCGAAGTAGATTAGTAAATTCCCGTTGAATCGATATAAACTCCTCACATAATAAAGAAGATTTCATCGCTTTTGTTAGTTAATTTCAAGGGCATTAACGTATCCTTACTTAACTCTTCTTTCCTTTCAGCTTTTTAGGAAATTTATGATAAGCAAGTAAAATGGTCAGTAAATAATGGCTTGTTTCCTACCACGGCTTGTTTCTTTTTGTTTTCTTGCGATTACTCAGCAAAACTATTTCTCGTAAGATGTCATTGCAAGAGTGATGTTAGTTTGATTTTAAGGATCTCAAAAAGCGCTAGTGGGCCACCGCGGTGCACCATTAAGTACCCCACTCCACTCCAACCTACACTTATTCATATAAAGACTTTTCAAAATAAGTGCTTATATGGGAAATATTTGTAAAAGTGGTCCGATCCGAACCATTTTTAATAGTTTTCGTTCCCGGGCTAAAATACGTGCCAGTAAAGCAAATTTCACCAGAATATGCGTCGAATAATTGCGATTTGTATGTTGAACATAAGAAAACAAGACGGATGGGCAGATAGGGAGACAAGCGTAGATCGATTCGAACACTACTTCAGAATCGATCGGTATAATAAAAGATGGATCTATCTCACATCATTCTGGGCGCTGTACATGCATCCGTATAAACTTGTACCACAAGCGGTGCAAAGCACAATGATGATTTTTATTTTTGTTTTGTGTATTTTTTTTTTTTAATAATTTCTTCTATATACACGTAGCGTCATTTCTTGACTTATAGCGCAAGAGAATTTGTTTGTAGTATTTGAAAAGGATATTCAGGTCGTGCTTCGTTATTCCGACTCAACATCGAATTTTTTTTTTTTTTTTTGATTAATGGAGAACGATCCACATCTAGAGTCTACCACATGTTCCGAATTTCAATGCATTCACTTTGTCTGCTTTGTTGCCCAAAACGCATTGGAAGCATAATACCAGAGGCAATCAGATGCTTAGTTTGACTCACAGTAAACGCAGTTGTCTACTTAATCTAGAAGCACGGGCGCAGTAAATCTAAGTCCATTTCTGTACCGTAGAAATACAAATGAAAAATACCATCGTATACATAGTATGACAAAAAGAAAGTGAAAAATAATTCAATTTCCACATATAAAAGCATTTTTTGATTTTTTTCCTTGAAATACTCGTAGTGGTGTAGTAGTTCTTGCAGTTATGTATGTGTTTTTTTTCCGTTCGAATTCGACTAAGTTGTGTACTTAGAACCGCATAGGTACACATGTAGGCTTTGAAGGGTTTGCAAAATTTATACCCCCAGATAGTAAAGGAAATAGCTTTCTAGACTTGGTGGTGGGTATTCAAAATGTCTTTTCTTATTCTCCGGCCGATTTAAGTAATCGATCATCTTTTGAAAAGCTTATCCGTTTTATTCGTCATTTAATTTTGGGTTCAATATATTTTCTTAACTTGGTTGACTATTAATCTATGGGTTTTTATATATAGATCCTTTAAACTTGCCGCCAAGACGTGAACAATGTTTACGCAAAGCTAAACAAAATAGTATTGCCGTATTGGGTACCGGAGGCGGTAACGATGATCAAATGGCCGAACCGGATGAATTTGCCGATTCGGATACGGATCCCGTTTGGACGCCTCAAGATGACGATGTAATTTAATTTAATTTAACGAACGAAAGAAATTTACCCATATAATAATATATATATATATATATATATATATATATATATATATATGTATTTTATCTTAGAGCAATGACGATGGTCGTGGTTATAAACGTAAAGCAGCTCGACGTTCCAAAGGATCGCCGCGTAAGCATTTTAGCCAACAACAGCAGCCTCAACAACAACAACAACAACAGCCACAACAACATCATAACGCGGTTGTTTCTAATGACGGTTACACTTTAAATCAGGAGATAGCTAGTAGTTCCAGTGGTTATGGTAATACAACAGGCGCAGGCGCCAGTGATAACTTTAAGGTGAATTGATTTGTTTTGTGTTAGTGATAATTTATTTATAGATTGCCTTTTTTTTTTTTTATATATATATATATATAGACCGGCGATTTTATAGTTTTACGATCCGATCTGGTAAATGACTGGCCAACCATATGGCAAGTGGACTCTAAATGTATCCTACAGAAATATGAACCTTTCTATCAAAATGGCAAAATGTTTTATCGAAATATGTCTAAGGTTTTTATTAAAATACTTTATGTTTTAATTTAATTTAATTATTGTTTTTGTCTCCTCCTTTTGCTGTTTCATTTATTCACGTTTAGTATGCTTCTTGGAATTTAGAAACTAAGAAATTATATTTAAAAGCTCCCGTACGCATACAAGTACAATCGCATACCGAAACAATTGTTGAATTTATGCGTTCCGAATTATTGGCCGATGATACTGAGCAGTTTATTGAGAAAATTATGGAAGACTACCTTTCATTTAGAGATCATTTTGAGATTTATATACAAACTATGATATCTCAGGTATTGGATCCTAGTTTCTTCTCGGAAATAACGCGAGAAAAAGGTGAAATTGCTTTCTCATATTTATTTAGAAGCGTTGAAAATATATCTGTATATATAAATTTTTCTTACAGATGAATATTTTTTGGCTAGTGTCCGAGCCATTGATACTATAATGGAGAATTGTAAACGTAAACTTTTATCGATTACGCCTTGGACGCGTAGTGTTATAGCTTCGATTGAAACTTGGCCCAAATGTCACGTCTTCACGGAATGGGGTCAAAATAATCTAACGCAGAAAAATTGTGCTGGCTGCCATCAACCGGGCATTTCCGTTCGTTTTCTTTTATTCGGTCACCCCTACAATTCGAATACTATGCAATCAGTACCAACTGATGCTCGTATCACTTATGAAAAGGTAACACAAATTACATAAGCGGTTCTTAACGCTATTCTAACTATATTGTCTTTTAGGACATATTACTGTGTCGCATTTGTGCCGCGAGGGCGGATATCTTCCATAAGATTGCTCACGAGAAATATAATCTATACATAAATTGTTCGAGGCGGGTATCCGAATTACAACAAGAGAATCCTGGTAAAACCTCTACAGAAATATTAAATGACCTTCTCGCCGAACATAATTGGATTGATGAGGTAAGAGCAACAACAATAATAATAATAATAATTGTTATAGTGATTAAGAACACAATCTATAAGAACTTGTGCATTATACAACATACACGTTTTGCTATAGTCCAACAACTAACACATAATGCATTACCTGATATTGAGGATTTATTAGTAGATAGCTTCATCAACTGTGTGTTCATGCGTGCATGCGATCCTTTCAAGCTAATAAAAAATAATAACAATATTTCTGATATTGTTTTCGACATTTTAACGATAACTAAGATCGTAGAGATATCGGTAATGAACGAGTGAAGACAATTTCGCAGAATTTCAGAAAGCTTTCTACAAAATCGCCGTTTGCTCCAAGTTGGCCGCTTAAGATAGGATTTATATTAGCTTTAAAGCAATAAATTCTGACTTGGAGTAAGGTAAAGTGTCAATTTTTCGCTACACAGTAAGCAGATGGTTTGTATCTACATCCATTGGCTAGAACTCAGATGTTGACAGTGTTATATTTTCGCCGTGAGCAGTATGAAAATATGATGGTCTGTATATTAACAAGATTTCAACCTTTTGCCATTAGACAGTTACTTCTGGTTTTAAACGAACCTTCTCTTTGTTGATCGCTTTCGCTTGACTATCGGGCATATGATGGCTCTGCATTCATGCAATACTCATATTCAACACTTTAGGCCTTTCTTCGATGCTCCTCTCACTTATTTGTGTTATAATTCGGTCACGCTAATTTATAATATACTACATCTAGGATTAGCTTATTTATTCCTTCGCCGATAATATGATTTTCGAAGAAAATCGTGGCAACAGGTGTCAAAAGCACTTCATTTTTTATTTTTATATGACCGACCACTTTAAGTGATATTCACTTTATACGTAGCAATGCTGGTAACCAAGAAGGACAATATATGTATGTGTGCATAGAGAAAGAAAAAGTGGAATAGTACTGCAAAGGGAAGAGCTTAGAAACAGTGGAAAAGACGATTGTAGGTAAGTTATTACAAAGGCGAGTAATGCGGTAGTGTGCTGCGCGATTTGCAGAGAAATTTCCTCAACAAGTCTAATTTTCAACTGATGCAGTAATATCTTAGCATATGGAGACTGTTTTCGTTTCTCTTTTGAAATGATCGCTCGACACATTCATTTTATGCTTCTAAATATCGGAGTAACTAGACGGAGAGACTAAACATATGGACGAATTAATTAAAAAAACATTGTATATATTGATCAAGAAAATATATTAATTTTATAGCATATATGTTGTTGCTGTTGTTGTTTTTGCTATATGAATATTTATTAAATAATATTTGCAGCTCTTCCGTAACATGCGCAACTCCTGGGCTGAAGTTGAAAGCTTGGAAAGACAGAAACGTTTCCGGGAAGTATCGCAATGATTTTCTGGACCCAGTTGAGATTTGATTGGCGTAAAACTTGTTTAGCCACGTAAGCATTATTGTACTACTACTATAC